CTTTAATTATTCTCAGAATTCATGTTTATTTTTCTCATTTTTTGTGTTTGGTTGAGGAACATGGAAAACTCATTTTTTAAAGAAATATGTTCAGATTATCATTTGTTTCATACATAATCATTAGATAAGGTTATCTTTGCATAAAACAATGCTCGTTGTGTGTTTTAAGCTATCTTATACATTTTCTATTCATTATAACACAGTTAGTCTATTTTGACAGTTTTTAGATATACGGTTACCATGGAAACTGCCATTTTATAAGAAATCCAACACGTCAACATATATTTTTCTTTTTATTTTTAAATTTGTCATTAAATTTTACTCATCATACAAAAAATTTAGAAAATTCTATGAAAGGATTAATTTTTCATAAAACTGTAGAAAATGTCTTTAACAAACAACTTGCTTTTTTTTGTTTGTATCGCATTGCTGTTTAATGTGAACTTAATATAAGCAATACCAGTAAAGAAAGACTGAAGGAAAAAATCATCAAGCAGTATCATTAACATTACTGTAATGTATGCATTTAGAATATGAATAAAGAATGAGAGTCTATGGTTTCAAGTGAAAGTCACTGAAATGTTCAAATATTTATGGATTTAATGATTTTAACCTATATTTCATTCAGTATTGCTAACCCTATAAATAGAGAATAACATGCTACTGTCTTTTGATATCAATTTTATCAGGCGAGGCTGATATGGGCTAGAAAGGGGCGAGGCTTGCCGAGCCCTTTCTGCCCATATCAGCCGAGCCTGATAAAATTGATATCAAAAGGCAGTAGCATGTTTTTCTATTTATCATGTAACACATAAAACTGTCATAATTACAAAATAATCTACTTTTAAAAAGCGAATTTCGTAGAAATGGGCATTAGAAATGTTGAAAGAAATAATTCTTGAAAACAAATTCCTCCGCCCCTCAAACTTTGAATTTGTAAATGGCGGCCATTCTGGCCATTCTTTCTTTCGACTCGAGATTATTTCCTGTGATAAAAGATACAACAGAATGAAACACGATAAAATTCTTACCTTTAAACATCGATCGAAAAAAATCCCTAAGAATCACATAAACTTTACTGCACGTTTGTCTTGAATTGTCAATTTCAAAAGTTCACAATAATTTCAATCAAACAAAAGTCAAATCGGCAATCAAACACAAGCTACACAAACATGCGTCTTATTTTTTAAACGAAACAATTTGTTCACTTGTTAAATAATAATCCGGCGAAATAAAGTAAACTTTTACAAGTTCTCAAAGAAAATCGTCTAGCCTGTTTGTTATGATTACATGTATAGTATGACGTGAACATCTATGATGTCATTTGCAATATAAACTATGACGTCACTTCATCTAGTTGATGCGCTATCTAATTTATTCGTAATTGAAATCGAAATAATAAATAAATAAATATCGCATCTTGATTCAAGACTTGTATTATAAAGGGTATTAGAATACATTGTAGAATTCACATGCTGGTAATATGAGAATATAAGCAATTGAAAAAAGTCCGTGAAAACGGGCGGGGCTTATTTTTGATATCAGGTTACTGACCTGATATCAAAAATAATTATCAGGCAAGTGTTATCGGGCAGTTACCATAGCAGTTGCGTGATAAATTATATGATAATTATATATCGATTTAACATAAATTACTGTTTTTATGATAATTGCTTAAATTTATCCCATTTAAAAGTACACATACTTGTCGTTTATATGTCTCCTCCTGTACAAATATATGCTCTATTATTTCTAACATCACAACAATAATTCATTACAAGAAGTATCTGATCAATTATATGGAACTTTGACTTTGTAAAAGTACATGTTATAAGTTTCCGATCATGAATATAATTGGTAATATATCAATTATTTTCCATTTTCCTCCGTTTACTTGATAAAAATAAATTGTTCTGTATGCTATTTGTCGTTTGCATTTTTATCCACCTTCGATTGTGATTTGAAGCTGGAAAATGCTATAGACAACCTTTTGATGGTAAAACTGAATTGTGACGACATGACCAAATGGTTAACCCGTCGGACTCATAATCAATTCTGAGGATTTCTGGCCGCTTTGGTTCAAATCTTGTTTCTTTGAGCAAGAAACTTTACACTCATTGCTCAGTACTGCCTGGTTTCACGAACTGATTCGGAAGTGTGTCTATAAGCTTATAGCTTCCTACACGATCAAACTAAAGTAAATTCTGAATGCTAAATTGCTTGGTGATTTTGGATGAAAGGAAAAGACATAAAGCTGTGCTTTTTACTATCTCATTGTTTCGTTTACGTATGTTATAATTGTAATGATTTTATAATTAAATTATTATGATAATTGAGATGCATTTTAATATAATAAGCATTGAAGAAAATCTCGTATTTCATTGATGCAGTTTATAAATAGGGAGACAACCCTGGTATGTCATTAAGTTTTCATATTTAATACTATTCATCTCCCTTTACAAGTCAGTTATGTTTTTAAAATTTTGTTTTGAGTTTATTTCCATCATAAAGTTTAGTTTAAAACTTATAAATCCACCCTTTCCCTCCCAGAATATTTTCCTTCTGCTTTTGTTGTGCTTTCTTATTTCTAATTTCAGCTTTATTTAAGATGGATGTCATCAATAGTGTTCAAACGAATCGTCATGGCTGGATTTCATTATGCGTTTGTACTTACAATTTTGAGGCAAGTACCTAACGACTTTAATTAAGCAATCTGTAATGATGAAAATGCTTTCTATCTCTTTATCGCATTTATGATTGTATCATTGTTACTAAATCTGCATAAGTTTAATAGTATTGATATAATGGAAGTTAATATATCTTTGTTATACATGGTTTTAAGCAAACTTACATTAAATATTACACTACATTGTACGTTTTTCTTTGAAATAATATTTTGCTTAAGCAGAACTTCTCTCTTAATTAAGTTGTGTGTAATTTATATGTTTATTGGCATATCTGAGCACGGTCCGTTGTTCTACATTCCGAGGAATAGTCTAAGGTTTCTTCCGTGCATGCCAACGGATTCTACGGTTCCTCTTAAATTTAAAAAGGAAAAAGGGTTTTATGTTTCCAACGACGAATCTAAGAATTCGAAAGAGTTGTATTTTATTGTTCCCTCTGCTAATAAGTAGAATATAATAAGTTATAAATAAAATCCAAGAACTACGACTTCAATATGATAATTTTGCAATTATTTGGTTGATAAGTGAAAATGTGACTTCATTTTAATTCCATTTCATAAAGTAAAGTCACACACAATTTTGAAAAAGAAAATTATGTTATTTATATAATAGTTATTTAATTACTATAAAATAAGCTGTACCGTCGAGGCCATAACATCACCCATGAGTAGATCCCGCGAAGAAACCAAGTGAAAGCGTTAATTATATATACCTGGACATCCTAGTACACGTTATCAGTTTGTTTCAAAAAATTCATTAGAAAAATAGATCTTACGCATACATGAACACGGCTAACAACATCGTCAGTATTCCAAATATTTCCCGCTAGGTTAACATTACGTTAAATAATCATTTTAAATCTTGTATTGTATGAAATGGGGAATAGATCAGTTACAAAACCAGGTTGAAATTGAAGAAAAAGTAAACACACATTGATAATATTAGCATGCTTATAAACACGATTCAGCTATAAAACTGAACTGAACACGTTGCTGCAAATCATAGTAAAAATATGTAGAAATTTGGTACAGGTAAATCTCTTTTACGATTCGCATGCAAAGTAAATATAATTGTTTAATAAATATATATATATAATAATAATAATATATATTGATATAGTAGTCTACAAACCTCAGGATAAACATGTATGTAAAAAACAAACTTTTCTCTTTTGTAAATTGCACTGCACATAAACTTGGCGAATTATCACAAACGCTTAATTGTGACTCTTCCAATGAGCAGCAGATATCTTGATTTAATGAGAAAAGGTTTTGTTTTTTTTGTTTTTTGTTGTGTTTTTTTTTGTTGTTTTTTTTCATTCCGGATCACGGAAAAAAGCAACCTTGAATTCCCCAGTGGACAATTCAGCAGTCGCCATGTTCCTGAGCGGGCTGACATGCAATTGTACCAGTACTTGTGCCTTCGTTTTCTCAAGGAAATAGCCTATGTCTGTACATGCTGGAGCAGAGGTGCGGTGCAAGTGACTGTAGAAAGGATTTCATGATAAATCACAACAGAAGAAACCTGCACTGCCCCGGAATCTAACCGGGGGTCGTCGAATTTACATTCTAACGCTCTGCCAATAGAGCTAATCGTACGGTGCTTATTATAAAAAAAAATGTTTCTGTCATAAAAGTATAGAGCTATATTGAGCTCTACGATAGTCTTATAAGCTGTGCAAAATATTATATGGAAAATAGAGACTTATTATTGGTTTATTTGGTCTAATGTTGTCATTGAGGAACAAAAATATGCATTTCATTTTTTCTATATTATTGTATTGTTATTTTGCCTCATTTCATGGACGGATCAATCACGTGATGAACTGCATGTGCAGTAAATGCAAATTTGATACAAATGTAATATATTTAACATGTGTAACTGCATCTATCTGATCTATATTTTATTAAAAATAACACATTAACGTTAGATACAAAGCTGTTACAAATCATTATTCAAGTTGAAAGACAATAATCCCAAATGTTACTGTTTTATCAATTCAGTTTCACTTTTGCATATGTATTTAAATTTGTAAACGTTAGCAGACATCCATTTCTTTATCTGACAAAATTTGCAGTCAAAAATAAGATGGTGTCATCATATTTATTGAAAAACTAGCAATAAAAGTTTGAAAAAGGCAGATAGTTTCAAGTGTTCTTACCAGTGTTTTAATTATCAAAATATTCAAAAGGTGAACAAAATTGCCAGGGTTTGTTGGATGTTTCTATTTTATCATTTTAATGCTATTATCCCCGCCAACCTACTCCACTCTCAACTAGCACGGTAGGGAATCACGGTACTTTTATGGTAACGTCAAATGTTTTTTCAGGTATTTTTTTTATATCCCTTTTACTAACATACGAAACTTGTTCTACGTGGAATAAAGACAATTATAAATATTTTCAAATATTAAACTTGGGCATACGTGTACTAGTTAATCAAATCAATTCCCATTAAAACCTTATTGTGGCAAATGGTATATGTAATATATCGATGTACACATTCTTAACGAAGCGTAAAAACAATGCGAAACTGTGACAAAACATTTATGGTTCAAAGCAAAATTTCCGAAAAAAGATAAATAAAGAATCATTAAAGAAAGCCCAACACAGCAAAATGTCCAAGTCTTATCCGGATTGTGACGAAAAGGGCCGAAAATTTGCAATGGCAGCAAAAAAACAAGAAAAGCCAAATAAACCAAACAGCAAAGAAAATAATATAGAGGCCTAAAAGTGTTACTATACAATAATGTATGGATCTTATCTTTATAGTTTCCACCTGTTTGGCATTACTTTTTAATTAAACTCTTAGATTTGCAAACATATATCCAACCGATGATATCTCCGAGTCTTTGGTTGAATAAAGCAGCTGATGTGTTAAATTGAAGGTCTCTATTGAGATTATTTAATAATGGTTCAAAGGAACTGGCGTAATACCAGAGATGGTGAAAAGCTGATGGGTATTTATGAAGATTTCTTAACTCACCAACTAGTGAAGATTGAAAGATACACATTGTTTTTAGCATAATATTATTGAATGTGAGCAAATGAATGTTATACTCCTTAGACACTCTATGTTTGCGTTCAGTAAAGAAGGCAAATTCATTATCAATTATCCATATCTTGCCGTTTGGTGACTTAACACTATTATATAAATGTCTGGAAAAACTTCGAAATCTGGGTCCAGATTCTCCAAATAGTTGGTAATGAATCAACCTGCAGAAAAAAAACAAAACATTGAACATTTTTAGACCTAGTCTATTGGTAGAATTGGTCTTTATAATTTTTCTTTCAAAACTGTTACTATAAGCTTACTTCTGTAAAGGGACTTCTATGAGGATTTTTATTATTTATTTCCATTTTATGTAAATCAAGATATAAAAATTTGCGTGCAACATTTTTTTATTATTCGCTAACTCGATTTTTTCTAGAATGATTATTATAATAGAAGAAAATTGACTAAAACGAAAAGGCGTTGCAATTTTCACTGAAATTTGACTAAGAATAGCACAAAAATACGATTTTCCATGTGTTTCATAGCATATTTCATAATTCTCTTTTGCGTATTTTGCAACAGCTAATAGTATGTTAGAAAATTCAAATTTTACATTTTTGGTCTTTGGACCTAAGCGGAGTAGTCCATTTAAGGTATTTTAGATAACGAAGAGTGAAAATCATCATCTTCATCTCATCTCATCTAATTATACCAAAGTGGGGCAAAAGGCATCAACAACAGCTCTCCATCCGGGTCGGTTCATTGCTGCTCTTTTTGCTTCTGCCTAGGTGTTATTGCAACTTTTCAGCTCAGCTTCTATTGTTCGTTTCCAGGTGTTCTATTCCAGAGTTCTGAATTGCTGATCTTGTTTGGCCATCTGATATGTAGGATCTGTCGGAGGCATTTGTTGATGAATACCTGCAGGTCGTGTTCGTTTTTCTTGGTATGCTTCCAGGTTTCTCATCCATACAAAAGAACTTATTCGACATTGGTCTCAAAGATTCTCAGTAAATCAGGAGTATTTTGAACTGGTTCAAGAAGTCTGCAAAGTGGTCTTTCCAACATTGGAGTTTTTTTAAGTCTTGTGATGACATTCCCATCTTCGTCTTTCACTGGTTTAAATGTGTTGGTGTGATGTTATACACAGTCTTGGTGTCATATCTGGCCTTGACATCGTCTGCTTGTGAGGCAAGTTGATTCACATAGTTTCTCTTGTCTTTTCTAGCTTCTCTTTTGATCTCATTCTTGCTTTCTGTGTGTTCTCTTGTCAGCCTTTCTTTTTGAGCTCTTGTCTAGGCCTGTTGCAGTTGTATCCTTGTCTATCGCTTTTTCTCTTTTGCCTTGATAGTTCCGTCAGGCAACCAAACCTTGTTTTCTCTCTTAGCATAACCAAGTGATGGTAAATGTGGACTTGACTCTTCCCCAGTTCTGTTATATTGTGCCATCGTCCAGCCCTGCTAGTGCTTAGAAGCGAATGTTCAACTAAATACTAAAATGTTGGCTTGTCTTTGGATCTTATAATATTCTGATGTTGTACCTTCTGTTCACTGACTGTTCTTGTTTTGATGCCTTTGCTATCTTAATCGTCAATTTGGCAATGACAAATTGGTGGTCAGATGCCATGTCTGCCCAACGAAAAGCTCGAACATCTATCATTCTCAGACTCTTTCTCACCAAATGGCTTTGTAATGTGGCTGATCTGTTCTTTGTTCGCATATCTGGTGAAACCCATGTTGTTTTGTGAATATCTTTGTGAGGGAATGTTGCGCCTCCTATAGATCGTTGTGGGAGCAGAAATCTGCAAAAGTTCTCAATTTTCGTTTGTGTCACCTATGCCTTCTTTCCTCATGATCAACTCTCTCCCGGTGTTATCTCTTTCAACTTTGATTTTCATGTCGCCAAAAAAAATCAGGATGTTTCGAGGTGCTGATTCATCTAATGACGACTGGAGTTGGTTGTAAAACTCCTCTTTACTTTTTTCCTCTGCTACATTATTTGGAGCGTAGCACTGAATGATGGTTACTTTTTGCACCTTGGCCATAAATCTTGCTACAATGATACTCTCACTGACATGGTTCCATTCAATAAGTGAGAATTTGGCCTTTTTCCTGAGTATGAATCCCACACCATTTCGATAGTAATCATCGTTTGGTGGTCCAGAGTACAAAAGAGTATGTCCTGATGACAAGGTTACTGCCCCTGATTAATATGTCCATCTTACTTCGCTGAGTCCTAAAATTTCTACGTTGTATCTATCCATCTCTCTAGCAGCCTGAGCAGCTTTCCCAGTCTCATAAAGTGTTCGAACATTCCAGCTTGCAATCCTTGAGACAGTCTTAAGGGAGAAAAGTTTTGTCGGCAGATGATTCCGCTTCATTAGTTCTCCCTTGGGACGATTACGTAAAGTGTATGTTGCTTCAGTTTCTGTAGCCTCATTTTTTTCGTAACAAAATAGAAGCAGCTTATCAGCTTATTACTATCTCGTGATATGAAAGGCTCCTAACAAGCTTGTGGTCATACCTCGAGTATAACAGTATGTGGAATAAGTTTGCTAATTCCTCAGTTTTGCAAACTCAACTACTCTTCTAATGCAGTTTCAATAAAAAAAATTAAATCAAACAATAATTTGGATGGAAAATAAACGATAATCTGGACGTTTATACAAAATTACCAATGATATAAAGCGGTGGGGAAGCAATAAAAGTGTGGCCTCCGATGGTTCAGGGTGATCTTGGGCGTATATTCAAATGAAGTATTCGCAATAGAACATGTTGCAGGTGTCGTGTACGCTTTTACAGTAATTGTTATAGTTTACTGATATAAACTCTCATAAAATGTTTAACGGAAATGTAGCCTTTCAATTTACTTCCATACGATTGGCTAATTCAAATTTACCTTTGTAAAGCAATATCACAGATACAACAAAGTAGTATAAAACCTTTCATTTGAGAAAAAAATATTTTATAAAAAAAATAAAATTGCTCACAAACAATTTACCTGTCGTGATGGCCAACTAAATAGTCAAAAACTATCAGCGTTCCCCACTGAATAAGTTCAGCTATTGCAGTAGATTTATTTCTTAGAGATGGTGATTCGTGAATCATGGCGCTGTTAACCGGCTTCCCTGTTTTGTAAGCATTATATATTACTTGTGGCATGAAAGTTTTAAGTCTGAAATGGGAATCACGATGAAATAAAGTTCAGAGACAAATGGTCCTTCTATTCAATATAATTTCACGATTGTCCTGATTGTGCTAGAGGTTGTCTTTTTTTATCTTGAACAAAACTGAGCTTTAAAATATCTACAACGGTTGAAATCAACAACTGCAATAGGTTTGACGGAGAAAAAACATCAAATAATGATTATACACATTTAAGTGTAACAGTGAGTTATTGACAAGATTGAATAAACATGCTTAATCCTTATTGTTTTAATTTATAAAATATCATTAAAGCATGACTTAACCTTGCATTATTGAACCACCTGATGATTGCAACTTCTTCGAATTCTTTCCAATTTAATTTTGTAAAGTTAAATCTTTTCCACTGCCCGGAAGATCCATCAAGTTTAGAAAGTATCACCTCTGGAACGTTGTCCAAACGCAACAATCGAGATAAGTAGAATGCTAATGCTTCAGCTGTTTATACGAAGAAATGTATGCTAAGCAAATAAATTTCTACAATCCATTGATTCTCTGATAGGTATTTATATAATTCGATAGCAGAAACTGAGCCTATATTCAAATATCTAATAAAAAGCTCGAAACCTAGAAAGTAATGAAGAACAGCAAATACTTGATCGTTTTATACCAAACCCTCGTAACCTTGATGCCAACGTAGACAAGAGCATCGCTAGGCGGATCATTATATGCCCAAAAGTTTTTTGTTTGATCTTTTTTTTTAGTAAGGATGAAACATTTGTATGACATGGGAATTAAATACAGTACCTCCTTCAAAAGCAACCCTCCTTTATAGCTGAAGAACCTACATATATATAAAATGTTGCTGTTTTGCAAAGCACCATCATCAAATTGTAGTTATGCTCAAGAAACCACAATTTTCAATGTTAATATCATTGTAACCCTTAACTTTGACCTTATGACCCTAAAATCAATAGGGGTAATGTATAGGGCATGGCTGTACAGCCTATTAAATTTTACAGCTCTTGGTTGATTAATACTTAAGTTATTGAGCGGAAACCATTTTCAGTTTAAAGGTTATTTTGACTTTGGCCTTGTGACCCCAAAATTAATAGGGATCTTCTTCCCAATATGGACAATCATCCTATGAGGTCTGAATAGTGTGGGCCAAATAGAATTTAAGTTATGCTTTAAAACAATTTTCAGTTTTGAGGTCATAGTGACCTTGACCTCTGACATTGAGAGCCCAAAATCAATAGGGGTCTTTTACCAAATATGGACAATCATCCTATGAAATTTGAATACAGTGGGCCAAATGGACCTTAAGTTATGCTCCAGAATATATTTTCAGCTTTAAGGTAATTATAGTGATTTTTGACCTAGAGACCCAAAAATCAATAGGGCTTTTCTTTTAGGAATTAAATTTGAATGTCGGTCTTCGCTTCATGAAATTGTGTAAACTTTATACAAAGAAACCATTGTAAGTTATTTCTCCTTTGACGGTGAACAAATTAATTTACACTTTATTACCATATATTGAATGAGTTCGTCTATGTTTGGCACACACTTTAGTTCCATCTTCAAGTGCGATAATGCCATTACTGTTGCCACACATTGACCTATTCCCTGATTCTATTTTTACCACACGCATATGTCGCAATTTCTTTACTAATTGCATTCTGTCGTTATCGTCTAATCCTGAAATAATTATGACAAATTAAAATGTATACGAGTCAAAATGTGTTTGCCAAAAGCAAAATGCAAAACTATATCACAAACATGGTGGTCGTGGTAGTTTTCACTCCGGATCACGCCAGTAAGCCACATTGAATTTACCAAGCACAGTTCAGCCACTGCATTGTTCCTGGGCAGGCTGTCAAGCAGTTTACAAGTACTTGTTGCTTTTAGTTTAGCAAGGAACTGAAACTTCTGCACATACCAGAGCAGAGGTACAGTGCAAATGACCATGGAAAAGATTTCACGCTCAATCACAACAAATGTGACCTGTGCCGTCCTGAGAATCGAACCCGGGTCGCCCGAACGCGCTACCTATTGAGCTAACCGGACGGCTGCACTTTTGAATGGCCTTGTTATATCAACAAACAAACAAAAACCTCAAGGAAACTACTGTATCCATCTGTATTTCATTTCTTACATACACCTTTGAACTTAAATTAAAGATTCATACTTAAAACTGATTTAAGATGAAAAATGACTTAACCTTCTTATGTCTCCAAACTGTATATTTAAGAATCTGATGGTTGTAATAACTTAAAAATTTGGCATATATTTTGTTGATAGGGATCCTTTCGAAAACCAAAAGTGCAAGAGTGATAGATGGACATATCATGGTTATACATAAGACAAAAAGAGAAGCAAATTGACATAACACAGATATACAACGAGGAAGGCAAAAAGAGATAAACGGACGTAACATAGATATACAACGACCAAAGAAAGGCAGAATGACTATACAGTAATAGCCGAGGATGTTTCGATTGCGGGAAGAAATAATTCGGAGGAGCTTCGTAAAAATTGTGATATAGAGCTCCTCTGAAGTATTTCTTCCCGCAATCGGAACATCCTCGGCTATTATTGTATAGTCAATCTGCATCTCTTTTTGTCTTCTGTATAACCATGTTATGCCCATCTATCACTCTTTTTGTCTTCCTCGCTGTCTATCTATGTTATGTCCATTTGTCTCTTTTTGCCTTCCTCGTTGTATATCTGTGTTATGTCAATCTGCCTCTCTTTTTGACTTCTGTATATCCATGTTATGTCCATCTGTCTCTCTATTTGTCTTCCTTGCTGTATATTTATGTTATGAGTAACTACTGTTATGTACATCTGTCTCTCTTTTAATCTTCCTCGCATTATATCCAATTATGTCCATCTATCTCTCTTTTTGTCTTTTGTCTTCCTCGCTGTATATTCGTGTTATTTTCATCTGTGTCAAGTTTTGCCTTCTTCGCTGTATATCTATGTTATGTTAATCTATCTCTTGTTTTGTTTTCCTTACAGAAAATCCGTGTTTTGTCCATCTGTTTCTCTTTTTGTATTCCTCGCTGTATAAGAACGTTTTGTCCATAAATCACTCTTTTTGTCTTCCTCGCTGTATATTTATGTTATATCCATCTGTGTGTGTGTGTGTGTGTGTGTGTGTGCGTGTGCGTGTGTGCGTGCGCGTGCGCGTGCGCGTGTGTGTGCGCGTGTGTGTGTGTGTGTGTGTGCGTGTGCGTGTGTGCGTGTGTGTGTGTGTGTGTGTGTGTGCGTGTGCGTGTGTGTGTTGGTGCGTGCGTGTGCGTTGGTGCGTGCGTGCATGATTGCGTGCGTGCGTGTCTCTTATTCTCTCTGTATTTGCAAATGATATGATAGTTTGGAGTTGATAATTATGCTATGTTCTCAGTCTCGCAAGGATATATGTCTTTATGGCTTTATTGTCGTTTGTCTGTCTGTTATTAGTTTGGATTTGTTTCTATTGAATGTCTTTGAAAATTATTGAAATCATGATCCGCAACGAGCAGATAACTCATACATTTCATTCTGGCGTATTAATATTATAAGAGATTTTTATCAAAATCTGACAAAAATGAAAATAATTTCTTTGAATAATCGAGGCGTGAGAAAAATTTTCAAGATCATACAGGGAACAACCTGGCCTTTGGAAATTGCTTCGAAAAATTGAACAAAAACACACTTCATGCAGCGATCTATACTTTTACCAATAAGATTGACGAAAACTACCACACCTATTGAAGCTAAATTCTAGTGCTTTTTTAAATTTATGGTAAAATTAGACAGTTATATATTTTTATATTAATAATTCTTCTCATGTGGAACAGTAAAACTTTCAGGAGTCGAACTTCGATTAGTCGATTTTCTTGATGTGTCAAAGTAAATGAAATTCAAAAATGAAAGTCTCGATTTTTTCCTCTTTATATTCCTTATAAAAATCTATATATGAGTTGAAATTTTATGTTTCTTTTGTTCTAACAGCCTTTGTATGTGTTTAAATGTGAGAAAAAATAAGTCAATAGTTACCATTCAACTTGCCGTAGTGGTATTTGAAATAAAGCATAAAACAACTTTCATTTGTGAACAACCGTGATCCGATGTGTTGGCTGCTCAGTTTTATTTATTTGCGCTCCGTGGAAAGCAAAATTGTTTTTAATCAAAGCAAACGTCGGTATTCTGTACACGTATGATATGGTAAAGACCAAAGGTCAAATTTCTTTTCAATACTCACAAATGCGCATGATCTCTATATGTCATTATCATTAAGATTTATATGTCACCTAAAAGAACTCTATTAAGGTTCAAAAGCCTAAAAACATAAAATTTGAATTTCTTACATAGATCAGCAGATCAGTTAGTTCAGTTAGTTCACTTATGAAAAAAAATATTTGCAAAAGATAATGAAAAATATACTCGGTAATATATTATAAATATATTTTGTGTTATTTATATCCCCATTTGAGTGAAAATCATTGCAACACTCAAATTTGAGTCATTTTTATCAGAATTGTTAGTCAAGTTAAAAGTGAGCAAAAAGTCAAAAGTGGGCAAATTATCTGAAATTCTGCACAAAAGCTATTGATCTAGACCTATGATAGACCATTTATCTTGAAAAAAAATTATGTCAGTCATGTGCAAAAAAACTTGAGTGATGTACCTTTTATTCAATAATTAAAAGAAGTTTTATGTCCCCGACACAAGATCATTTTACCCTAAAGGCATAATGATACATATGGATGTCACGTGGCATATACCACGCATTTAACCTTATGGTTTCTAAAAAGGAAAAAAAAAAGATTTTGTCAGATTCAAAGAAAAAGCTGATTAAAAAAACATATTAACATAATTTTGTTTAGAAAAACTAGCTGATGTAAACGGATATCTAGATTTAGTTTTGAAAGAGTATTCAAATGTTTCCAGTAAAATGTTGCATTGTGGATAAGAGTTTTGTAAAATATATAGTTATTTAAACAACAATAAAAAAATGTTATGCAAGAAACATCTATTATAAAGTTCACTGAGTTCAATCCCTAGTCCAATAGGCAGGAGATACGGGGTTTAAATGAGGTATAGTACAAAAAAAATCACAAAGATTTCTATATCATACTGCACGTTTGTATGTCACTTTTCATTGGATAATTCTGACGTTGAAGTTGTATATACATAGCTGATGTCAATTTTCTAAGAAAACACTTTTTTCCAAAAAAGGAAGTATTCCTGACAGGTTATATGACCATATATAAACGATTGTTTGCAATATAACGCTCGTCTAGTGTATCGGGTGATATTTGCAAACAGCCGTTCATATAGGGTCATATAACCTGTCAAAATCTATATGACTAAAAATACATTTACAAGTACTCTTAATTCGTTTACTTATAGATAAAAAAACGTAACATTTTAAAAAGATAATTTCAAACAAATAACAAACTTCATTAGAACAAAAAACGCTGTGTACCGCCGTAACAAGTAAAATCAAAGCACTGAATGTACTGATGGGGAGGCTATGACAGAATGTTTCAGACTTATAGTTTCTTTTCTTTTTGCTTAAAATGTGATGTTATTTCAATTATTACCAAAAAAAAGATATGCACATTGCGCCGCTATTTATCCTTACTGTTGTGTTCAACCATTCATATATATGGTTAATATGGTTGACTATTCATTTTGTTAATATTCCAGAACATTTCATTGAGGTCTACATTCGGACTCTTAATCATGCAAATTTTGAAAAACCTAAACTGTCAATAATAAATGACATACCAGAAAGTATGACGACTGTTCATTATTATAATAGCAATAACATTTTACAACTGACGGTTCCTTATCAAAATATTCTAGGACTGTCCTTTTAATATTATGAAATGATAATAACAACTGCAAGTGATGCAACATTTTTATTGAACATAAAAATCATACACATTTACATGTACCATAATTGAGATCAATAAGATACTGTCTTGTGATGAGTATTAATATTCATGCTCTACGAATATGTTAGTGTTCATCCGTGCTGTTCTACAGAAATTAGAAACTTCGACGCGAGCGATAGCGACAGGAGAATGTTTCTAATTTCTGTAGAACAGCTAAGGATGAACACTAACATATTTAGTGTCAAGCTTTATTTGGCCCTTGATTACGTCACTACGCGGTACTATGAAGCACTATGAAAAATAGAAGGCGACTATTAACGGATTTCAATATAGTATCGACTTTTTTTTTCTATGAAAATTAACACACATAATTTTTAAGAAATACAGCGTTTTCATTGGATTACAAATAAAGCTGGACACTAAGGACAGAAGGTTGTCTTCTTCTCGAATAAAATCATGTTTCAGAAATTTATTCCCATTTCATTACTGACGGCGTCACCGATTATTTTTAGAACACAAACATATAAGTTCTTTTTTTATTTTTCAAATAAACATTAATCACTTCAGCGCACGCAAATATCGTTTTTAAATTAAAGTTTCGTAAGATATGTTAATGACTTCCCGATGCTCGACTGTAAGTAATTCGTATATATATGCGTTTTCTTTCCTTTTTTAATTAAAGCTTCTTATTCTTTAATATTTTTTTATGTATCTCATAATCTGTATTGAAAATTTGAATTTTATTACACATGGACTATCAAATTATGATGCGTTGCCCTAGAATTGAATAAACTTTCTAATTACGCAATTCGGGGTCGTTCATTTTATTGAAGACTGATCTTTGCGTCTTTCTCTGAAGTAATTATTTCCTTGTTAAAATATATTTGACCTCTGGTTTCTGTCATTTAACTGTTCACTTTACTTCCGATTTTTGTTGTACAGAAACACATGTTTCTATTTGTGTTTTCTAATCACTTCGAATCTATAATCAGTTTAATGGGATCACCACCAGGTAAACGACTACCAGGTACTTTGGTCATGTTTTTTACCCCAAATATTTGAATGTTTCTATTGGGATTAAAATGATCGTAGTTTAACTAAACAACTGGTTGTATAAATCCCTGACCTGTCTAATTCTAATATGAGATTAGAGGATATATAAGACTTTCACTACAAAATATTCCTAAACAAAAGAGCACATGTTTAAATTTATTCCTATACAAATAAAAGATCAGATTAGGGATCTGTCAATTGCCAGACATATTTTTAAAAGATACTTTTATGTTAAAAGTTTGATTAATGAATTATGTAAGATGAAAATATAAGTATTGCTTTTTTATTTTGCTAATGTAAAATGTAATATCGTGCTGAAATTTTGCCGGAGGGTCTTAGGGGTTTTGTCGTTAAATAGTGTTTTTTTTTCGGCGATAATGGTTCAAGAATATAATGTTTTCAAACTATATGTTCATCACCATCAGTGAATTTTTAGTTAAATGTATGCAAAATATTTACTAACAGCTATATGATATAGCGGTTTATGAGTGTTTTCCGCGTACAGCCTCCTGGGGTGTACTAATTAATAAGTTAGTTTTACTTAGTTATCACGCAAGCATGATCCATGTCTCTGATGTAAGCGACAGTTTACAATTATTTGTCTTTAAAAAATATTAAGGACTATTAATGGGTTATAACAAGAAAAGAACATGCATGCTATTGAGAATACGGTGTTGCAACGTTCTAGTTAATGTACGGTCATAAACAGTTGGTCGCTGCGTAGTAATTGGAAAATTGTTATCAAAAATAATAAAGAATATTAGCCACCAAATTAAAGCATTTACTTATAAATTTTCATTTATGCTTTTTGTTAAAAAAATATTGATAAAGTTATTATTTTGAAGGGTTTTCATACCAGAACTATTTATTACAGACATACGTATGCCTAAACCTGATTACCGCGGCAGTATGACGTCACGGAGTAGTGATTTTGAAAAAATAACAAACAAAAATCAAGAATTTTTCAGAGAATTATTATCTTTACAAATTGCAGATATGAAATTAAAGAATGAAAATATTTTCATATTGTAAATGTCTGTGATGAGTGATGAGTCAGCTTAGAAAAAATCAAGGTACTATTTTTTGACCTGATTACCGCGGCAGTGAGATTTGACGGACGGTTATTAACATTGGGTCGGCATAGCCTCCCCAAAAAACTGCGTGATCCGTACCATTTTATATAACTTGACGGAAATATGCAGGGTTTCTTTTAATTTTGATAAACCGAAGGTAGCTTGTACGGTCACGGTAACTCTTAGCTTGAACTTATTTAATCCAGCTGAGTATTAGCTATATGAAAACATTATCTTAATCAAAATACTCTATGTATAAACAATATAGCTAAAGTATATATACATAATACGTAATCGTTCAGTACATAAAATTCCTTTCATCGTTGGTTTCTGTACTTAACACTAAAAAGAAAGCTATCTTACCTTTCGGAACGAGTGATTCTGCAAAATCTGACCAAAAGATCCCGTCCTGCACTAAATCTGTATTAATGCTTTTATCTTTTCCAGATTCAGATTTAGTGGAAACATTCATCGATACAGATTTGTTTAGTTTTCCACCAAATATCTTAAATTTAAACTGCGAATAATCTGAATTTCTTTCGAAATCATATTTTCTTTTAAAATATGTAAAAAATAAAACAAGCACACAAAGGGAAGGCACGATAAATCTCCAAAACATTTTCATTGTTTTTAATATTGTTTGTAAGATCGCATAATTATTCTCTTTAATTGTTTTGTGAAAATAGAAGGACTATAGATTTTGTGTGCGCCACATGTATGTCTTGTCAACGTCAATATCCGATTTTTTATGTGCATTTCACATTTGAATTGGACACTTGTAACAGCTGTTTTGAATTGGACACTTGTAACAGCTGTTCGATATAAAATTGAAAATCGGTTGCAAAATAAACAATATGGCTACCGAGTCATGAGTATTTACAACACCCCACGTATTTACTTCAGGTATGTTGGTTAGTATATTTTTTTGAAAATGTTTGATATGTCCATTCCTTAAAGATCCTGTGTGTTGTTATAAAAGATTTAACATACAGTTAAGTGAAGTTTTATTTATGTATATAAGTATTCTTCTAAAACAATTTCCAAATATCCAAGAATATGTTAAATATATACAGCAAATGCTTTTTACATTATAATCAAAAATTAAAATTAATCCATGCGTTTTATTGAAAAAAACTCGCTTAGACTTTATCACTGTTTTACAGCGTCCACCGGATATAGCCCATAAAACCTCGGAAAACGAAAGTAGAAGAGGTGAACGTCGAGTTCACCCAAAGAAATGTTTCAACTTATCTTAATCAAAAATAAATCGATTTTTCCAAACTAAACATTTTTCTGAAGCTAAATTTGTCAGGGTTTAGAGCAGTATTTGATTTTTGCTGCAAATTGAATAGTTTTTATTAAATTGGCGATAAATTGTAGCGTTTTTGTTGACATTTGCGATGTTGATATTTACCTGTAAATCGAGTCTAAAAGGCATTTGTTGTATCAAAATCCGTATCTAATATAAAATAAAGACTTCCTTCTATTTGTATGTGAGTGATCATCCATCAAATCGATCTGCTTTTTTAAAGGAATCACAATTGTAACACTTTTCTCTTATGCGTGAACTTATCAGTAAAAACGTTTTCCAATTCTGTCAGCGGCATAACATCTTTGAGTAAACTGTAAAACATATTTAATTCGGTAGCGGTACTTTACGAGTTAAACGACTTTACAATGTCTCAACTGGTGTTTTAAACAGCGATTTATGCATTATGATCAAGAAAATCCTGTTTCGATTCCATGATATTTTTAAAACTAGATTAGTCAAACTGTGTTGGATCCAAAAATCTGGAAACAAAGTGATCCCTCGGAAGCATCCATCATAACAAAATTACATGAAAATTGCACACTCGGTTTCATTGAGTCCGGTAATGAGGGATAATGAATAAGTGCAACATCCCTTACGCCCCATAGCACCGACTTGAGCGGTACTCAATTCTCAAGGCCAACAAAGCCACGCAGGAATACGAGGAAGTGCAAGAGAGAATTCTTAGCTAAAGAATCATTGAATACTGAACCAATAGACTTCTCGTTGACAAACGATAATTTCAAACCGTCCAATAGTAATTTTATATCATCTGAATGGAAATCAAACCAGGACAAAGCTGTATTTAATAAACTTCATGATATCAGCCTCTTTCTTTATAAATTGCCATCTCTATCTCTTCTAAACCATTATGAATAAGTAGTTATTCTAAAATTCTGAATTGGACTCGTTAGTGTTACACATTTTCATTTTGTAACAGCAGACGATGTTGTTTTTATAGTCTGTAATGATTATATCACTGTCAAACATTTCTTTCTGAATGCCATGATCTTGCAAATGTTCATTATAGATTTGATCGGGTAAATTAACTTACATAATTTTTTCTCAGTTCCATCCAGCATTACTTAAAGGAAACATACTAGTATTTTAGGATTTAACCAACTCATTTTGTAAACTCCTTTTAGACTTAATAATTGTAGTGTTTGGTGCGGTATGATCGGTATTTGTTAAAATTCTGAAGCTCGGCATGAACTCTTTAGAATTCAACTGAACAACATATAGAAGTGGAAGCAAGTGGAATAGTAAACAACACTAACATTAACAGTAAGATCCGTAGTACATTTAGGTAATATATATCTTAACCATATACCATAAAGCGATTGATCAGACTACTTTGATATTATTAATAGGGATCGAAATGTCATCTGTTGAGATCCCGTATATGAACACTTCCAACCTGGGCAATATTCATACAGTATATGTTACAGTGATGGTACTTTCCCGTGAAAGTTTTTGAGGCAAAGTGCACGCTCTTCTCGAATCAGCAATACATCGAAACAACTGACGCATTATTAGCTATGATTGTCTTTACCATAATAGAAATAAAAGTTTACACATAAATATCGTTTGACCATTCTCATGAGCATTGAGACTTTAATTTGCACCATGGAATCCTGAATTATGTCCGCCACTTTATAATTCTTAAAATTTATTATAATTATTATACTCGTAAATCATGCCGAAAACTTTGAGAATACGACTTAATTCCTTTCATAATACACCATTTGATGCTTTTGTTTTTCAACATTCTTTCATTCCACTTAAAACAAAAGATATTGTATACAATTGAATCAATTATTTCTTGTTCTTGTCAAAATTTATGCACAAGTTAATTGTTATAACAATTATATACTCCAGTCAACTTGATACACAAAGATACACTAAGAGTTTTTCGTTTATTTTACGATATGCAGAACAATTTCACGCAACAATAAAGTTCAAAGGCTCTAGTTGCATTTTGAATTTTTTATCTTTCGTATATTATCCGTCTCTCATAACTTAACATTCTTTTGATTCAAGTGAACATTAGTGCTTTATATCCTTGAACCTTACATTCAATGTCCTTGTTATAAGAGAATCTTATACTTTGGAAGACAAACCTGATAACAAATTTATCAGCCGTCCCAATAAAACGTCACCAAAGTAAATATTCGGGAATTCCTAACGTTTCCAATTTCAGTCGCTGTAGGATGAAGGCCATTCAAGAAAATCTATATATTGACGTTTGTCTATTTATCATTGTATTGCATTATCGCTTATATTAATCTATTCCTTTTTCTTTCTCTTATTTATTGTGAACAAATTGAGAACAAATGCTGATTGTCTTAACATTGAACATCTTCATCAATAATTTTATATGCTGCTGCATCAAGATAGAATACATGTGTTCTGTCTAAGTGACAGTATATCACTAAAGAATTTAAACACCTATTTTACATTGTATGTAAATTGTTTGACTTTCTATTGATTTTTATTAGAGAGAAATAACTGCAAATTCGTTAAAACCATTCAGTTATACATTACAAAACGTTTATTACGAGTAGAATACCTTTTCATGAGCACAGCAAACTTGAATGTAACCAGACAAATTACTCTCACGACTTGTTCTCATCAAAACCATATGATGTTTGTTTGTTTATTTTTAAATACTAAAAATAATCATATAATATCGAACGACTAGCTTATTATGTGAACGTAATATATGCAATGTCAAATATATATTCAATCATAAACTATTGTCATCAACAAAGTAATTTTATCTTTATGTAGAATATGAATAAAAATGAGATCCTATGGTTTTAAGTGACAGTCACTGAAATATCCAAATTCTTTGGTTTAATGTTTTTAACTTATTTTTCATTCAGTTATGCTTAGCCTATAAATCACATATCAAACTTTTATAAATAACTATTTTATTATGATTATTGCAATAATTAATACTAATAAAAGCAAAATACAAAATATTGAGTTTTAATATGTGTTCGTTCTTTTTTATAAATAAATGTTAAAATATTGTTTTAACATTACAACAGAAATTCACGAGCAGTATCTTATCAATAAGCGGACATTTCTACCATATAAATGTAATTACCTCTCCAGTATACCAGCATTCCTCGTTTATTTCGATAACTATTCCTATTTCTTGTTCTACAAAAATGATGTATTTTATAATATCATTTTATGCTTCGTTACCATATTTTCTACATAAAGCGGTATGTGTGTAGATGTGTTCAGATGAAAGTTTGTTTAGCCCGCGAGTTGGAAGATGTGTATGTATGCGATCATGTAAAAGATTAATTTGGTCCAGGCAAATAATCGTAGATAGATAGATACTTTTATTTGCTCCATTCCTCCAATACTTGAAGAGTTGATGTCTTCAGATGAAAGCTTGTTTTAGCAAAAATGTTACAATCTGTGTGTTGATGCGTTTAGATGAAAGTTTCTTACAACCAAAACTTTAGAATTGGTATGTTGATGTGGTCACACGAAAGCTTACTGTAAGTTTTAGATTGTATCTTTAATGTTATATCAATTTATATTATAAAGGTATAATAAGCAGTGGTTGTTGATGAATTAGTTTTTGTTTACGGTTCATTAATTTTCACTAAGTGAAATATATTAATCTCATATATAAATGAAATATTTTATCGTTTACTTATTAACACATTTATATATCATTTCACTTGGACGAAGGCAAACTGTTTCACGATTTAACTGCGTATATTTCTAGTTTTTTTCTAGTTTTCTATTATCTTCGGACCTACAATGCTATCCATATTGGTTATAATATATTCTCTGACTAAATAGCTAATGAGACATTTACCTGGAATAATCACGTATACTTTCTATGCAAATGATGGGTTATAATGATGTTACAAAGTATGATGTAACCGGTGCAAAGAGATACCTTTTTACAATGTACTTCGTTAAATAACAAACAAGCATCTGAAAGCTTAATATTTGATAACAGATTACCTGTATGTAAACTCTGCTATGGGATAACATAAATGAAAATCCTTACCATAACATTACTTTTTAATTCAACTTAAAGATGACAGAACGTAAAAGCTTTACGATAAGATAACATAACTTTCAAATTCTACGATAAGATAAACAGAACGTACAAGAATTACGATAAGATAACATAATTTTCAAGTTCTACGATAAAGTAAAATGACCTACAAGCTTTGCTGTAAGATAATAAAAACATAACAGCTTATATTGGACGGCAATGAGTTGCCCAAACAAGCACATTAGATTATATATCCTGGAAAGTTTGCATTTCTTGATAGAGCAACGTAGAAATAAACATACACACGTATTTCCTGAATATTACGTCAAAACCAAACATTTAAGTTGTGATTCATTCCGTATTCCTCAAGCTTCAGACAAAGTAGTATATAAAAGAACGTTAAGTATAGGCTAAATTCTAAGAAACAATCTTCCGAATTGTGTTTCTATTGAATAATAAGAAAATGGTACACAATTATTGTGAATCAGACAGATTTAATTACACTCCTATCCAGTGATGCAACATTTAAGATGCTTCATTTTATGAGATAGCAGGTCAGACAATAGACTCATCATTATCCTTATACGTACCATAATGTATTAAAGAATTTCCGTTTTTGCACACAAAAAGATAGATAGTAAAATATGTAGACTTCCAAGAATGATACAAAACTCGTAAATAGCAAGTGCATATAATCGAAAGACATGGTATATTAACTGCAGTGTAGTAAAACAATGGGGATAAATCTGAAAGTGATATTTAATCATAGATCATTAAGACTTGCAATCAAGGATATTCGTGTAATGAAAAATAAACACCAGTTATAGTATCAAATTACAACAGAATAGCAAAAAATGGTTAATATTTTTTAAAGCAACTTATGCTATGAACAGATTATTAGAATATTTCAAACATATAATCATTAGAATTAAATAGAGAAAATCACAGTTTCCTCTT